CCCCTCCCTCACCTTCTTGTCCTCACTCCCCGCCCGCATCCTCCTTTCCGAGTACGCTGCCCGCACCCTCTCCTCGCACCCCCTGCTCATACCCTCCGCCTGCATCCCCTGCCCGCATCCCTCGCCGGCATCTCCGCGCACAACCCCTCCCGCGTCCTCCACTTGCATCTCCCTGCCCTCATCCCCCGCCCGCATCCCCTGCCCGCATCCCCTCGGAGCGGGGCCAGGCGCCCACCATAAGGCGGGGGCGGTCGGGGGCGGGCTCTCGGGGCCGGACGGGAGCGGGGCCGCGTCCTCCCGCTGCGGAGCCGCGGGGCGAGCGGAGCCTGCGGGGCCCCGGCCCGGTGCGCGCAGGGATAGTTCACCCGGTGATGAAATGCAGCTACTTCTGGGACAGAGCCCAGCAGCTTTTCCGTGCCAGCAAATACTACAGGGGAAGTGAAAAATCACTTCATGCATTGGAAGTGCAGAGATGAACTTAGTGAGGCAGAATATAAATTACCCGGAGCGAGGGAGCTCGTGCCCGGTGGTTTGATTTACACCGTCCCCCTCGCGAAAGTATCACGGGATTTTTAACAACCGTAAGGACCTTGGCCCATTTCCTTCCAGGCCACACAGAGCAGCTTTCCAGAGAGGGTGAATATCCACACACATGCACACACACAGATCTGGCTTCTAGAAGACCCACGGACCCTGGACTGGTCGTGTGGTTCTCCCCCTTCCCTGGAAATGGCTGCCAGAGAAGGATGCTGAGCTGTGGAATGGGGCTGAGCTGAGTCAGGGCAAAACACCTCCCAGAGATGTGTGGTACCCCACAGTGTTCCCAGATGCCAGGGGGGGGTTTTCCCTGCTGGCTGTGCCTCTGCATGGCCACATCCAGCTGACTTGCTGGGCCTGGAGCTTGTGTGGACATGGCTGCAGCAGCTCGTGGTTGCAGTTGGTGTGGAAAAGGGAAATACTGTCAAGCAGGAGAGGCCTGGGGAAGGAAACTGGATATATCTACTGTGTTCTTCTGTCTGGAGAGAAACAAGCATAGGCAGAGCTGGACTAGATAAAAGAGATGGCATTCCCCAAGGTTTGGGAGTAGGCATAGGGTGGCTGTTGCTGGATGGATGGGCTAGGCCAGGGAAGGAAAAGTGCTGGGACTAGTGGGAGGGAGAAACAGAAGGAAGAGCAGAGGAGCAGCTGATTTAGGCTGAGCTG